GTCCGAAAGGAGAGCTACACTTACTGTTTGTGGTGTTTGCTATCCCTCCGAGGCCACGGTCAGCTTCTACCAGGGCAAGTGAGCGGTGGAGCGACAGTCTGAGGACAGAGCCCTTCCCGAGGGAGGGCAGGCGGGGCTGTGCCAGCAGCCTCGGAATGACCACGCAAAGTAAGCGGAAAAGCGGGAAAAAGCCCAGAAGTTCAAAATGCAATCCCATATAAAATAAGTTTAAGAAAAAAAGCCTTTAAAAAGTTTTTAATACAAAAATACTCACATACAGTTTTCCAAACACAGCTTCCCACTTTAAATGCTATTCTCCCGACTGGCGGTTCCCGAGTCTACAGTTCCGTCTAGCCGCCCCGCCACCCCCCCCCCCCCCGCAGGAAGTTCAAGTTTTTAAGTCTAGCGAAACCGGTGATAGCACCGAGTGTTCCTATGAGGAGCCTGACCTCATTCTGTATGAAGCGTAGACACCAACAGGCACATTTAAATTCATATTTAATTTCTGACAGGGCATTTCACATCTCAACAGGGCTCGCTGGACAGCACGACGCCTGCGACAGCATTTCCCTCTAGTGACTAACATCCAACACTGTGCTGCTCAGAGGATATCGAGAATTTGGCAACAGTCCTTTGCGTTAACTTTCCTCAAAACAGGCTTATCTTTAATTCCTGGAAACCAGGTAGTTCTGGAAGATGGGCACGATACACGCTGTGGTTTTTATGTCAAGATAAGAATTTCAAAGGCGTCAGACGCGCAGACCTGAGTGCGAGTGAGGCCCAGGAAGCAAGGGAGGCGGGCTGTCCACGCGGTTCCTTACCGACCGGGGCATACAGGGTCACTGTGCCACTCCGGTCCCCACAGTGGTCCTACTTCCTGACTGCCGGAGCGGACGTGTCCTTGTGCCCCGCGCGGTGTGCGAGGCGCCCGGGTCCCCGGAGGCCAGTGTTGGCACGGGAGGGCGAGACTTCACAGGCCACGGGCACAGCACCAGTCGTTCTGACGCTGAGGGATCCGGAGGTGTTGGGGCGGCTTTCGTTTTGTTTCTGCTTCACATTGGTGACAAAGGGGTGAAGCTGACATTCATAAAGACCGAATCACACCCCCCCCAACCCCCCCCACCCCCCAGCAAAACGAGCTCTCCCTCAGATTCAGAGCAAAGCCCTGGCAGGAAGGCCCTTCGAGCTCAGCCGCCACGCCTCAGCCTTGTTGTGCTCGGATTCGTAAACCAGTTTTCTAGAGATTTTCAAAGTTAGTGTTATTTGCTCATTAGTTTTAAGTTTTTGGAAAGAGGATAACCATATTTAAAATAATTTTTCCAGCATCTCCTTCAGATCGTAGAATTTGAAAATATCAAAAGTGACTTAAAACTCACAAGATTTTACTACCGTCAAGTACAAAAATAAGTTAATCTCCCCAAAGTGCGCTGCAAAGCCAGTCTGGTGGTCTGACTTCTGGTGGGAGAGGAGAAGCGAGGGGCGGCCCTGAAGAGCGGAGCCCGGAGGCCTCGGGAATCCCGCAGGCCCTGAGCCGGGGCGCCAGGGCATGGGAACGCTGCTGGGCTCGTCGTGGAACAACCTTCCAGGTTGTTTGGGGAAGAAGGAGCATAAATCTATAAACCAATCCAGTATTTTCTTGGGACGATTTGAGAGAAACGAGTTCTACGCGGAAACACCCCACAGTTCCCCGGGTCCCACTGAGCAAGTGCATTTCCAGAGGTCACCTAAGCCACACGCAGGAGGGGTCCACGGATGACCAAGCTCTCGTGTCTCCTTCGTGGCCGCGGATGGCTCCTTCCTCCAGGATCACGATAGGAGAAGGGCAGAGGGACGCCTGGGTGAGACCCTGTTCATAGCGAGCGAGGCCCCGTCGGCGCCATGGAGCCTCACACCCGAAGCAGACTCTTCCCCGTGGTCCGAGCCCGGCAGAGACCGCTGCCCCCAAGGGCTCACGTCACCAAACCACGGAGAAGAAGTTAAACGGGGGGGTCCGGGTCCAAGCATGTCCTGCAGTTGCACGAGGCAGAGGCAATGATGGGAGAGAAACAGACAGGAGAGACCTCGGGAGTTTTCAACAAGGGACGTGTGTACGTCTCTGTTCTCCTCCGGTGGTTTTAAGAAGAACGGAGCAGAAACAAGCATCTGCTGCCGAGTATTCCATTCCCTTCCCTCCCATCGTCGGCACGGAGGCCGCGGGCCCCACGGGGCGCACTTGGCTGCCTGGCATCCGGGACCCCTGCCCTTGGTGCTCCGGACTCCCCAGGGTCAAGAGAAACTTCCAAAGAGAAGAGACCTTCGTGCTCCCAGGAGCTCCTCCCATGGTGTGGCCAGGCCTCGTAAGGAGTAAAAGTTAGTGACGTCTCACAGAGAAGTTCCAGGCCCGACGCCCACAGATGGCGCCTCGGGCCCCCAGCACGAGTGCCTGGCGGTGGCGTCCTGGCTGGGCGCGTGTGACCAGCACAACTCCCGTTTTCTGTGAACAGACCCCCAGGGGTGACAGGAGAGTAGCAAGTAGGTGCAACGGTCCCAGACTCTGCGTCTCTCCTCAGACCCCGAAAGAACAATTTTCGGGAAAAGCCCGATCTCCCACGTGCTCTGGGTCCCCAGGGTGGGGAGCACCTGGCCGTGCCCTGCTGCCGGGACTGTCCCCTGCCGGGCCGCGGGCGCACGAAGCCCCGACAGAACCATTTCTGTGAACTCGGCGCTTCACACAAACTCACCGCGGGGCCGCACCCCCACCGAGTTGGCCCCTTTCCCTGGGAGAATTCAGGGCCGCATCAGTAAATACACGTTTCAGTCGGTGGTAATTTGTGAAAACAAGTTTAGCAAAAATCTATTGAGAATAAAAGCCAGAAACTGGTAAAGAAAAGCCCAATGAAAAAAATATACAAAGTCTTCCCCCAAATGTTGGTAAGAACCTAGTGCGTTCAGGGACAGGCCCAGGTGAGATGCGCCAGACCTGGCCTGGGCCGGGGAGGCCGCTCCGAGAGGCCCCGCGCTTGCAAGGCCCACGGGGTGGCACCATTCAGTCCAAATCCACGACAGAAAAAACTACGGGACAGCTTACAACACTGTCACTATCACCACTCCTGGGGCCGGCTCCTCACTAGGATGGAAAAGAAGCATTTTGAGGAAAAATTTCACATTAGTACAAAAAAACCCCAAAATCATACAGCTGTTTCAGAAGAGCAAAATAATGATCAAAATCATGGTTTCCAAGGAATCCAGGGTCTGAGTCCTTGCCCGGGCCCCGCCCTGGTCTCTACTGAGTGACGAAGGCAGGTGAGCTGGCCAAGTGACTTGGTTAAGATGAAAGAGATCATAGTGAGCCTTTAGAAAAATACTACCCTCTACATTTCAGGTGAGATAAAAACATTTCATATGCCAATTAATTTTCAATTATAACTTTAACCTACAAAAATAGAGTGGGAGGGAACCTTGACATTCTCAGAAATTCAAGTGTAGCTGTAATGCTGTGTAGTAAGGCTTGTTTGTCCTGGAACCTTCTGAACCTCGCGGCTCAGACGGGTCATCAGTGCAGACGCAGCGGGCGCTGCTGAGGATGGCTCAGTGGTGGACAGGCACTCCCTCCCAGGAGGCCTACACGGCTGTCATAGCGGCTTCGAGCTGGGTCCTCTGGGCCAGGGGGGGGGGGGGGGGGGGGGGGGGGGGGGGGGGGGGGGGGGGG